GTCTCCCGATTTTACAAGCCCTCTCGCACCTGGACCAGCCGACCATTTTGATTCAAACAACCAAAGAACTATACACAAGCCTTCTTACTTCTTCTTTCTTAAGAAATATGTAATTAGGCTTAACTGGATTAAAGCGCATGTTGGGTACTTAGGCAATGAGAAGGCGGATGCAGTTGCCAGAGAAGTGGCTTGAGAGCCTAATTCTTCAAAAGCGGAAACTCCGGGTTCAATAAGAAAGGCTATACGAATTATGCTAAATAATTTGTGATTTGTAAAATTAAAAGAAGTAGAAAGCTTATCTAAAGCATAGATGTTAATCAAATTATAAGCCGCCATAGAAGATTTCCCTATTATTTTAAAAGGGTTAGAGTTTATAGTTTTCCATATTATTTAAAAGAATTACAGTTTTTATTACAGTTTCCGGTACTATTCGGTTTCGAGGGCCGTGTTACAGTTTATGTGGCTGGCCACGAGAGGGCGCAGCGTTTTTTTATTTTTAGCTTGTTATATTTTTCTTACCGCATTGCGGATTTTTGAGATAGATGTAGTGGCAACCAGGAAAACATGATGAATGTTCTAATGTAAGCATACAGTTCTTGTACATAGCTGTAAATAAAGCTTCTGTGTGATAAAAATGAAAAGGAATTCCAAGCGTTCCTGTGGATATTCATTAAGAAAGGTAAGCAAAATTTCACTTATCGATGTTGTTAAATGTAAATAATAAGAATAAGAAAAAAGATCATAAGTTACAACATGGTGCCGAAATTCCGGGATAACAGTGATCTTTAGATATATTGTGATTTAAGAATTTATTATTGTTCGATTAGTGATTGAATATTGATTATTAAGATGGATAAGTTAAAAGCACTAAAAAAGAAGCGAGGAATGCTAAGAGCATCAGTAACAAGACTGATAGCTAAAATGGAAAAGGAAATAGAATCGGATAATATTAAATTTGATTTATTAGAAGATGATTTATCCATCTTAAATGAAAATGAAAACGATATACTAATATTGAACACTGAAATCGAATCTATCCTAACAGATGAAAAAGAGTACGAAACTGAAATACAGGATAGCTTGGAATATAAAAATAAAATTACCTTGTGTAAATCGAAGATCAGTAGAATATTTAGAAATAGAAAATGTGTTAAATTAAATGAGTTGCCATCTAATTTTGCTACTATAGATACGGTAGAGAACACAAATACAAATGGCGCTAAACTTCCGAAACTAACCATAAATAAATTTAAAGGCGAAATATGTGAATTTCAAAGTTTTTGGGCTCAATACGAATCTGCTATACATAATAACTCTGCTTTAAAGGATGTAGACAAATTTAATTACCTCACATCTATACTAACGGACACAGCTTTAATGTCAATAAAGGGATTACCGTTAGTTGCCGAAAATTATGCTAAGGCAATAAATATTCTGAAAGAAAGTTTTGGTAGAAAGGACATTTTAATAAATGCTCATATGAATCGTCTGCTGAATTTAAAGCCAGTTAAAAAAATAGATGATATTAAAACATTACGTAACTTATATGATAGCTTAGAAATTGAAATTAGAAGCCTTGATTCCCTTAACGTTACTTCGAATTCTTACAGTTATTTGTTATGCCCACTGTTAATGAGGATACTTCCTAGCGAATTGGTTTTAGAGTTTAATCGATCTTTAACCCCTGACACAGAAACCACAATGACTAACATTTTGGAATTTCTGAAGAAGGAAGTTGAAAGCAGAGAGCGTACGTTTTTCTAAACATCGCCGAACTATTCCGAGTTTAACATTAGAACCGAACAACATAAACATCAATTGCGAGACCTTATTAAAAGTGAGAAATATCATGCTGCCTTCAAAAAGAAACATTTTGTTCCAGCAGTTGCGTCGTTGAATACGAATACGTCAACAGCCGATTGTATATTTTGTGGGAAGATAGAAAATGAATCTTTGAAACATTCTACTTCAAATTGCGCAATTCCAATTGAGGAAAAAAGAAAAAAATTAAAAAAAATTGGCTAAACAGATGCTATTTATGCTTTCGTAAGTCTCATACATCTGCCCGTTGCAGTTCGGATATACGCTGTGATTTATGTTCATTAAGGCATAATACTATTTTACATGATAAAAAATTTGAAAATATACGGGAAAATAAAGGTGAGCTTAAAACAGACACAGTGGTGGCGTCAATTTCGGAAAGAGATAACAAAAATAGGGTTTATTTACAAACTGCAAATGCAATAGCTTTAGGTCAGAATAGAAGAAAAAATGTAAGACTCATTTTCGATTCTGCCTCTCATAAATCTTTCATCCTGACAGAAGTATCAAAACAATTAAAATTAAGTGTTGTGGGGGAAGAAGAATTTCAGATTTACACCTTCGGCTCTACTGAGCCTACAGTTAAAAGGCTAAAAAAGGTTAAGGTTATTCTTAAAGATATATGTGGACCTGGGAAAATAATAATTGAAGCTCTTGAAACTCCAGAAATTAATCAAGCTGTTATTAGTATGCCAGGAAAGGAAATACTTAATTATTGTAAGGAGAATTCGATAAGACTTGCTGATGCTACAGATATAGGTGTCCATAACTCTCAAATATCAGTATTAATTGGTAATGATTATTACTGGAAAATAGTCACTGGGAAAGTTAAAAGATTATCAAAGGGTCTTGTTGCCTCTGAAACCTTATTTGGTTACACTATAAGCGGAACTGAAGCATTAAGTAATGTTTCTACACTTCATTCCGGAATTACGGTAATGAATGTTGTTGAGAATACTTCACATGCACATGATTTGGAAATTAGTGCAGCTCTAAAAAGGATATGGGATTTAGATGCAATTGGAATACATGACTATTCAGCAAATGAAAATGACACTGAAGTTATGCGTAGATTTGAAGAAACTATTGAATATAAAACCAATCGTTATGAAGTTTCATTACCTTGGAAGGACAATATGAATAAAATGGGTAGTAATTATAACATCACCTTAAACAGATGGAACAGTTTACTTAGAAGGTTTAAGAAAAATCCTGAAATTTATGACAAGTATTCAAGGGTAATTGAAGATTATCTAAATAAAGGAACAGCGGAAAAGGCTCCGAAGAATTCTGAAGAAAACATCTATTATTTGCCACACCATTGTGTAATCAGAGAAGATCACGATTCTACGAAATTAAGGGTTGTAGTTGATGCTTCCTCGCATACTCATGACAGTCTATCTTTAAATTATTGCTTACATTCAGGACCAAATTTAAACCCTGAATTATTAAATTTGCTAATTAAATTTCGTCAACACAAAATAGCATTTGGTGCAGATATCGAAGCTGCTTTTCTACAAATTCTGTTGAAGCCTGAGGACAGAAATGCAGTAAGATTTCTTTGGATTTCAAAGGAAAAGAAGCAACCGACGATTTTAAGAATGACGCGTGTATATTCGGAGCAACCTGTAGCCCCTTTTTACTAGCAGCAACTATAAAGCATCACGCAAGAAAGTTGAAAGCACAATATTCGAAGATCTGTCAGCTTCTTGAAGAAAATTTTTACGTAGATGATTTGATTCATGGTACAGATGATAAGGAAGAAGCTTCGGACATTTATGAAGATGTGAAAAGGATTATGATGCTTGCTAGTTTCAAATATGAGAAAGTGGAAGGTGCAAATAACTGCCCAATTACATGCGATTTGGAATGCAGCTGAAAATACGAAAGCTTAATGGAGACAGAATGAATAGCACTTTGTTAGGATATATTTGGAATTCATGAAGCAGATAAACTGAAATTTCGAATCAAAAGATGAATTACTCAAGGATCCGGCTGAGGAAATAACAAAACGGAAGATTCTTCAAGTTGTCGGGCGAACTATACGATCTTATCGGTTTCATATCTCCCTTTGTTGTTGCAGCTAAAATTGATGATGCAAGAATGTTGGCAAAGAGGATACCAATAGGATGCAACCACTTGATCAAGAGATTGCAGAATCGATTTAAAACCTGGTATAATGAAATTTCCTAAATTAAAAAATGTTGAAATTCCAAAGGACATTATTTCAACAATCTGTCAAAAGGAAATCTGTCGAATATTCAATTGCACTGTTTTACAGATAGTAGCCAAAAGGGATATGGTGCCGTTGTATATTTGAGATACAATGAAAATGAGCTAACAAAAACATCATTTGTTATGTTCAAAGCAAGAGGTGTTCCCATAAAAAGGGGTTACGTTACCTCGACTGGAGCTTTTAGGAGCAGTCATAGGAGTTCGACTCATCACATACATTCCGACATTCGTTGAAAAACATAGAAATGAAGATTTATATGTGGACAGATTCAAGAAATTGTACTACATTGGGTCAAGGCTGATCCGACAAAATGGAAAACAATTTGTACGAAATAGGTGTCTAGAAATCCAAGAGAAAACTGATCCAGATTGGTGGAATTATTGTCCCAAGCCATGAGAATCCTTCAGACTTATTGACGAGAGGACAGAAAGGTAGAAACCCTTTCAAAAAATGAAGCTGTGGTGGTATGGCCCACCTTGGCTTGTTCAAAGATAAACAACTTTTGGCCCAGATCTTCGAGAAATTTAAGGAAGGTGGTAAAATATTAAATTCTGAGAAACGAAAAGGAAAGAAGCAGAAATTTTAACAGCAAACTGTATTGTTTGAAAATATCATTCCTATCGAGAACTTTAGTGACATAAAAAAGGTATATAGAATAACATCTTATGTTTTCAGATTTATCAATAATTTGAAAAACCCAAAACTAAGAAGAATTGGACCTGTTCAAGGCCTGAAGAGATGACTGAAGCAGAGAATTTCTGGATCAAGAAAAGTCAGGAAGAAAATTTTAGAGAAGAAATAAGGAAATTCAAAGATGAAACAAAACATAGATAGTTCAAAAATATTTCACATTAAATCCATTTGTAGACTCAAATGGAATACTCAGAGTAGGTGAGGAAGGCTTCAAAATGCTGAGTTAAGCTATAATCAAACATATACCCAGCAATATTACCTGAGAAGTCTCATTTGACAGATCATACCATTAAAGATTGTCACGGAACGCAAGGACACGCTGATGTAGCTGAAACTTTAACTCAAGTTAGAGAAAAATTTTGGATACTAAAGGGTCGACAGCGTGTAAAGAGTAATATTAACAAGTGTGTGATTTGCTACAGATTTAAAGCTAAGCCACTAAGTCAGGATATCGCTCCTTTACCAACCGAAAGAATAACAGAGGCAAATCCCTTCGAAGTTGTAGTACTTGATTTTGCTGGTCCTATGAGTACAAAGGATGAAACTGGGAAAGCTTATATTGCTCTGTATACATGCGCTGTAACAAGAGCAGTGCATCTGGAACTAGTATCTAGCCAAACAACAAACAATTTTCTTCTGTCCTTTAGAAGATTTATTTCAAGAAGAGGAGTATGTCGAATGATATATTCAGACAATGCAAAAACCTTCAAAAGAGCAGACGAGGATTTACAAAAACTATGGAATACCATCAAGGACACAGAAGTTCAAAATTATTTGGTAATAAAAGTATTGAGGTGGAAATTCAAGTGTGGAAAAGGCGGCCTTGGTGGGACGGTTTCTGGGAAATTGCATTTGTTAGATCTGAAATATCAAGTCAGGTACTTGAAGAAAATACTCATGAAGGCTTCATTTAAATTTGAGGAGCTGGAAACAGTTTTCATTGAAATTGAGGCAATATTGAATTCACGCCTGCTGACTTAGTTTATAGTGAAGTCAGAGAACCAGAACCGCTGACAACAGCTCATTTTTAGTTGGACGAAGACTGACATCCTTACCATCTGGCAAATTTCTTGAACCCGATTCATCTAAAGAAAATTTAAAAAGGCGATATAAATACTGGCTAAGGTTATTAGAAGGTTTTTGGAAAAGATGGAAAAGGGAATACTTACTTGAAATTAGAAACGTAAAACAAATTCAGAGAGGTAATGCCGTAACAGATCTTTTGAAAGGCTCTGTAGTTCTAGTACATGAAGAAAAATTACCAAGATTATTATGGAAGATGGGAGTTGTACAGGAGTGTCATCCAGGACGAGATGGGAAAATAAGGGCTTGCACTGTCCGTTTAGCTAATGGAACTCATCTTCGTCGTCCTGTGCAGTTATTGTACCCATTAAAAATGACTTGAACTCTTTGAACTAAATACAATGAACTTAAATTGCAAACACTGCATCTATGGACATTTAAACTTGTAGAACATTAAAAACATTTAGTGTTTAAGATAACTTCAGAATCCAATCCTTTGATGAACCAAGAGTTCATCGAGGGGGAGGATGTTTACAGTTTATGTTAGCTGGCCACGAGAGGGCGCAGAGTTTTTTTTTTACTTTTAGCTTGTTATATTTTTCTTACCGCATTGCGGATTTTGAGATAGATGTAGTGGCAACCAGGAAAACATGATGAATGTTCTAATGTAAGCATACAATTCTTGTACATAGCTGTAATAAAGCTTCTGTGTGATAAAAATGAAAAGAATTCCAAGCGTTCCTGTGGATATTCATTAGAAAGGTAAGCAAAATTTCACTTATCGATGTTGTTAAATGTAAATAATAAGAATAAGAAAAAAGATCATAAGTTTCAACAGGCCGTAAAAAATCGCCAAATTATTGTTGATGCCAATGCTGCCAAAATAATTTCGGGAACCCTAATAATTACGGAAAGAAAGGAAGTATAATAATAAATAACTGTCTAAGATTGATGTTTTAATTTAGATGAAAGTTTAATTTCATATAATACTATTTTATTATTATAATTTATGTGAAAAAAGCTAAACACGACTGAATGGAAGTATAAGAGTAAATAACCATTTCAGATCATTTTTATAATTTATATAAAAATTGCAAAACGTAACTGAATGGATGCCTGCATCGCTATTTCGCTACCGACTTATCGCTTAAACATAAATTCATCTCGTTGGTTGTTCAAACGTAATTTTCCATAATGAATGATGCCTTTTCTTTAAAAATATTCTCGGTAAATTGCCGAATCGCTCACTTATTTGCTTGACGCTTTTTACAAGGGTAAAAACAATTTGATTTTTGTCAATTTTCTTTTCCTTTTTAAGTGAAAATAGGTCGATGTGTACATAAATAAAGCCAAGGGTGTGTGCAGTGTCATTTTTGTGCAATACTAGGATTTGGTTTTAAGTGAAAATAGGTTGATGTGCTCATGGATACCGAGTATGTGCAATTCTTAAAAACGCGTCAAGCAGTGAGTGATTCTGCACTTTACCTAAAGTTCTATTGCCGACTTTTCATCATGGGCAATTCCCAAATTGCTAAATCCATAGGATATCAAAAAGGGATTTAAAATCAAAAAAGGATTTAAAAGTTAAAACTAGTATTTCAATGGCGTCTTAAGAAATATAGAACTTACGCAATCTGAAACCAGCGCGTACGCTAGATTTGGCGCGCTGTTAAATGGGCGCGTTTGCTAGATTTGGCACTTTTGCGCATTCATTTTCGCTGCAATTTTTTTACGGCCCTCAAAACAGAAGAGTACCCAGTTTCCATATTATTTTAATAGGAAAGATTTCCCTATAATTTTAATTGGGCTTCCAATTAATGATAAATGTAAGTTATTCTGTGTGACTGGAGATGCTCGTCATTTTGTTGAAGAGTGTAATTACTATCTCTAGAGATACCATAGGAGCAGACATAGACTTTAAATCACTGAATTACAACAGCGTAGTAGTGAAAAGATTGCAGAAAAAATTATGGCAAGAGTAGGTCAAAATAGAGAGAAAATAGACATAATATATAGTTTGCGTGTGGGAGCGTGTTTCTGTTAGTGTTTTATATGTTTTTCTATTATTTTTGTATAGTTTCTAACGCTCTTTTTTCCTGCTTTCCTTTACAAGTGCTTGAAATATAAAAAAAACCAGAGGCCTATATATTAGTATTTTCTGGTTGTACACTGGTTATCATAAATTAAGGACAAATCACAATTGCTACATGTTAAATGTAGAATTTTAAATGTACAAAGTTAAATAAATGTACAAAGTTAAATGTAGAATTTTATGAAACTTACCCACAATATACAAAACATAGTAAGGTATCAAATAACATAAAAAGAAATTACCAGACAATTATGATAGTATAAAAATTAGCACATGTATAAAATGAACAAATCAAAGATGTCAGTTTGCTATAGTAAAAGTACCTTCAATATGGAATATAATCGCCTCTAGAAGCAATACAGTATATTCAGCGATGTGTGATGCTTTCAATTATGCGGTCTATCAGCTCCATAGGAAGCGAGAGCCATTGCTCTTGCAAAGCAGTTGCAAGCGCGGGGACCTGAGGGGGTGGATTGAGAGCAGCTAAACGTCTTCCTAAAGCATCCCAAACGTGCTCGATAGGATTCAAGTCCGGGGATCGAGCTGGCAACTCCATGGCAGAACTGTTTCCTGTTGAAGATAATCATATACGATGCGAGCCTTGTGTGGTCTTGCATTGTCGTCCTGTAACAGGAAAGCATGACCTATTGCTCCAGCACATGGGCACACATAATCATCAAGGATGTCATCTCTATAAACATAAACATTCACGGTTCCCCTTGGAAAAACATGTAGGTCTGTGCGTCCACCCAAAGAGATGCCACCTCAAACACAGACACTGCCTCTTCCGTATGCATCTCTTTCACGGATGTTTGACGGATGATAACGGGTTCCAGGTTCTCTCCATATCAAATAATGCGTACTATCGCGTTCTAGACTAAACTTGGACTCATCCGTAAAGAGAATAGACCTCCATTGCTCAGGCGTCCAGTGGACATGTTATCGTGCCCACTGCAAACGTTCCCTACTATGGCGTTACTTGAGCAGCACGCAAATGGTTGTTCGCCTAGCATACAGACCACCTTCGTGAAGCCTTCTACGCACAGTTGATGTTGACACCAACCTTCCGGTGGCTGCAGCAAGGGAGGAACGAAGAAGAGTCGGAGAAGCGGTTCTATTCCTGAGTCGGAGCAGCGGTTCTATTCCATAATGGCAAATATCGGTCATCGGCGCTCGTCGTAGCAGTTGGTCGTCGTTGGCTGAACTTCCTAGGTGCCGAATCTGTGATTTAAAATTGCCTCCAAAGTCTATGAACCACAGAAGGACTGACATTTAGCCATCTGGCCACTTCTGTTTGACTTTGACGTGCCTCTAGTCTCTCAATGGCTTTCTTTCTTTCTGCAGGCAAATGATGCCTGGAGATCATTGTTACGAATTGGCTATCTCAGATTTCTGACGTCACTCTCACAGTGAAATATGTGGGCTTGTTCTCAAACATGGACTTTTATGCTCCTCTCAGATGTCGTATTCCGAGTGCAGCGCCACTAATTTGCATACTGCAGTTTTACTCAGCTACTCTTACTTGGCAACGTATTCAAATTTTACACGGTTTGGCTTATTTTTGAGGGAGTTATCGCTATTTTTGTGATTTTCCTTAATTTATGATAACCAGGGTATTTGTGATTTTTCTTTTGTTGCCTTTTTCTAACTTTTTTTTGTTTTGTTGGGGTTATTGGCTGTTGTTGTTAGGGCGACGCAGTCTGCCTGGAGGGTCGGGGGCACCCCGTACGTTACACTGCAGTAATTAAACTAGATATATATTTAATACAATCCATTGGTACTTCAGTAGGAGTTATATAGCTTTCTTTATCTACAAAAATTATATCAGTAAATTTTTTAAGAGATACCAGTTAACTATACATATAAGGAGACTGACTGAAAAGTTTTAAATCATCTAATTATGAATAACGGAGCTATTCAAAATTAGCAGCTGCTTTTATTAGTTCAGTATTTTCTCCTTTTCAAAGCAGAGTCCATAGCATTGCTTTTTTATGGAACGTTTTATGAACTATTCAGATATGTAAGACAGAATCGTTTTCTCATTTTGGGGCCGCGTTTCTTCATTTACATCTCTCTCTCTCTCTCCCTCTTTTTTTAAAAATTCAAAATGACCTCAAATCACCTGGTATTACACTTGGGCTATATGAAATGTTGTTTTAATGTTCCGTTATTTACGAAATATCCATTTCGCATCATCAGCATGCAGCCAGGCTTTGAAAAGCAATAACCACTATTACTTGAGCAAATCCAGTCTTTCCTTTCTAGTAAGCCATTTACCCTCACAAATCTAGTCTTCACGTTCGTACGGGGTTTGTAGATTTGGAGTGAATAACGACGACACTAGATGAAGTATCGAAACACACTTTATTTAGCCAATATTAATCAGGACAGCTCCAAAACACTTTCACAGTCGTCGAAGATCTACTATAAACACGCTGGAACAATCAGCGACACAGACTTCACACTGTCAGGCAATAACGGTGGATACAGCTCACTGCAAAGCACCCAAGTACAGCTTCCGACCCTGCTTAGTCGTTCTCGGAACTCCACGTACTCTCGAGACTCTCCACACGATGCGCTCGACGATACACAAGAGTATAGCTCTCGACTCAGCACAGTCTAAGAGAAAACTCGACGATGCACTAATTTGCGATGCACTAAAAGACTCTCTTGATGCACTCGACGACCAACTCGGCGCTAGATTTCGAGACATTCGTTCAATGACTGACTATCAGCTCGCTAGACGAGGCACACACACTCGATACCAACTGACTTCGGACCAGCAGGGTTTATATAGCTTTCGGCTTGTGTTCGAGAAAATTCTGGGCTAAACCGGTAAGAATTCGTTCCAGAAGGTTCTCCATCC